TCATCTGCTTTGTGAATGACATAATTTTCAGCTTTCTGCAAAACTGCCATTTTTCACCCAGTGAAGAACATTCTACTTTGCTCTTTCTTGTCATGGAGAGGAGGTGAAATGAGAGTCACTTGATTTTTCTTAACTTCTCTCTAATTCAGCCAAGGGTGAGATGTTAAACCTCAAAGTTAATCCTACCCTCTTGTTCAGGTACCACCCCATATACAGTTTTAGGCAACAAGATGCTTTCTCCTTTCAAAGATACACATGAAGGGCAATGTTAGCTTCTTTCCATGTAAAAGTCCCAAAAGGCAGAGGAGCAACAGAGGAAGGAAGAAAAAGCTTGGCCAATACGTCCTTGTTGAAAATATTCACCAACTGCAGACTCAAAAGAGCAGCAAAATGCTTTGCTGTGGTCAATGAGCTAGAATATTACATATCCAATGTAAATGGTTGTAGTTTGGCCTAGCTAATTACTTTGATGCTGCTATAACCAGTTTTAGTTTTGATTCCTGTTCAAGAACCAGCTGCTCCCTACTTAGAAAATTTTTACTAAGGCTACACTCTGGTGCACTAAAAGATGTAGAATGGATTTTATTTTACTGGAAGAGTCAAGGGGCAGGAAAGGGTAAAGCTGCTTTGGAGAACATCTCTTTCTTTACTGCAGAGATACATGGTAAGAAGTTAAAGTACAGAATAATTGAAGGAGATTCTGTTTGCTTGGTGAAGAACTATGTTCTTAACTGCAAAGAGTAAATCTGCAACAGAGATGAGGGATACCTTTTATTTATTAAAAGTGAAATGCAAATACAAAAAAGGGGTGGAAAAACACACATACACAGAGTCTTCCTTTAGGGTCCCATCTTTCGTATTTTGTGAGAAGATAAAGCTGATCAAGTGTATCCAGCAGAAACAAAGGGTGTAGAATCAGAGATCCTTTCTGAATAGAGAATTAATTCTAGAACAAAAATGAACTCCCTAGCTTAGTGATTTTCTTCTGAAAGAAGCTTTTCCTCACTTTAAGTAACTTATAATTATTTATATCATCCAACCTTCATTGGGCCACTATAATAGCAGTGAGAACAGGCTTTATATCGCCATGACAATGGATGTGAAACTATAGTAGAAAATGCTATTATTTCTAGTAAGGGAATGACCTAATGGGGTTTCTGTTTGCTTTTTCTGACAAAGTCAGATTTCCATAGGTACAAGGAAATTGATGAACATTATCATTTCTTATTTTTAAAATTTCAGTTTCCTTCTCATGGTAACAAGTGTTACCCCTCCATGACTGAGACTTGGAAACTCCTTCCTTCTAAGGCTGCTTTGGCTTGGGGTTTTCACACAGAGATGAAGGAAAGATCAGGAAGCAATCATTCAGTGCTATATATCAACATCAAGCAGGATTGTAATGAATCCACATGCCAGAAGACCAAGAAGAGAATAAGTCATCCACTTGTTCAGGAGATGGTACCTGTTAAGTCCTCAAGTTAACAGCGGAAGAAGGGCACGCATTCTGTAGCCAACAACTGTTTATTCTTCTGCTGCTCACTCCAACGCAACTCAGAGGCTCACAGGCCTCTCTCCCATTAAATAGATCCCCGGGCAAAAAGGTTACAATAGAAAATGGCGTGCTTTCGTGCCTTGTGCATGCGCGCAGGCTGGCGCAGCTTAGTCTGGTCCTGGGCAGCTTGCAACAGCCTGGGACCATAGCAACGTCCCGAGCCTGCTTTTGCAGGCTCAGGATACAACAGTACCTATGAGTGGGATGAGGAGGGGGAATTTCCCATCAGAATAGACATTTTTGATCAGCCCTAATTTTAATCAAAATACTCTACAACCTGGCTTTCCACAATGGCCTAATTAGAAGGGCTAAAAATAATGATTAAAAAAAACTCATTTTCCCCTAACAGAGAATTCTTAATAGAGAATGTAAAATTATTGAAGCAAAGTGGAGATTTTTCTCAAGTAGCTTAAGGAATGTTATTGCTGCACTTGACAATTATTAATGATGTTGCTAGGTAAGATGGGAATAAAATTGGAGGGTGATTCTGTTATCATTGTCCATGGCTTCTTGGCTGTATGACTTCCAATGGCACCAGCCACTATAGACGAAAGCTTTTATATTAAATACAAATAAAAGTTTATAATTTTCATTTAAAAAGTAACTTTTGTATTTTATTGGATTTAGCTAAAGGATATTACAAAAAATGAAGGTTAACTTAGCACATATATTTTTCCTATTTTTATTTTGAATGTAAAGACCTCTATGAAAGAAGTAATTATTATGTAAGTAGTGAAGTACTTCATGGGTCTTAACACTTTAATCAAAATAGTATACAATTTACCATTCACATTATATATAGACATTCTGCAATTTTAAGGTGATACTATTCTAAAAAAAAATGACCTTGGTAGTGCATTCTGTTTCTTAATAGAAGAAATAATCTATTCTTAAAGTTACATAGTTCTTCATTTCCAAAGAAATTATCAACAATAGCCTTCCTTCCCTATGTCTTCTCTGGCAGAACTCTTATTCTGTTGTTAAGAAGCATAGACTATTCCTTGTCATTGTGTGGTAACAAAATAATTTCATCATTATTGTCCACAATGCTTGGAAAAGAAAACTACAAATTGTAAGATAAAACACATGATCAGATCTGTTGTGAATATTAATCCAAAAAAATCTTCTCTATAGGGAGGGCTGTAATTTGTACAAAAGCATACTATATAATTCTGTCGTGGCTGAATTCTGAAAAATATTTGTCTTTCAAACAACAAAATACGTATGTCTTTCAAACAAAGTTGATGCAGGAATCCTTGAGCCTTTTAGTAAGAATTGTTCAATATATAAGCAATCCAGAATAGAATTAAATAAAATCTGATAAATTGCAATTGTGTATGTATGTACATAGGTGTGTGTGTAATTTATTTTGCCTGTCATTCCTACTAGATTAATTACAAAATTGGTCATTATTCTCAATATTTGGAACAGCATGGACAAGAGGTTTGTAATCCAGCAACGAATAAAGAGGGATTCAGATGAAGTATCCCAGTAAATGGGACACTCATGTGTAAGTATTTTGATTATACTTATGGAAGCTTAGTTACAGAATGACTGGAGTGAGGGACCTGCAGCCCTCCAGTATTGATACACTTGAAGAGCACCAGGTAAGAGCTACTACTGAAGAGCTGATGAATCCAAGAAGCAAGAGAGATTAGACCAGTGGTTCTCACTGGGGGTCGCCAAACAAGGCTGTCTGCCATTTTTTCCCCCTTTTCTTTGGCCATGCCCCTGGCACCCGGTGATGTATAAGTGGTTGGGGGTCACCACAACATGGGGAACTGTATTATGGGGTCGCGGCATTAGAAAGGTTGAGAACCACTGGATTAGACTAAGCAGGGGGTTGGACTAGAAGACCTCCAAGGTCCTTTCCAACTGTTATTCTGTTATGTTTGTCAATAACCTTAGAAAAGGAAAATTCTATATACTTCATCTAGAAACTTTTGGGTGATTAGGATTTAGTGGGATAATGTATGAGAACCTTCTGGATTTTCACAAGATGGCCTCTTTCACTTGGCATCTGGCTTGAGGGAAGTTAGCCCAGAGAAAAAAATATTAAAAAGGGCAGAAAAATATATTTTTTCCTCAAAAGGACTTTTTAAAACCAAACCTGGCCCCAAATCTATCTCTTTGCCCCAAGCAAGAGCTAGGCCCATACAAATGCAGATGTAAAACCATCAGAAAGTTGGAGCCAGAGCAATCAAGAAGACAAAAGAGAAGATCTGCATACCCCACCCAAACTCTAGGAGTCAGCCCCATCACCTGGGAAGCAGGATATGATAATAGAATTAAACCACAGATATCAAGGCCTAGACAAACACTCAGAAACAGCCTCAAGGTTCATGCCACAGGAACAGGAACTATTCCAAACAAAAGGCTAGAGGGGATATAAAAGCCTACTACACCATATGCTCACCCCTTCTCTCCTCTGAACTTTCCTGAAGAACCATCTTTCTTCAATAAACTGTAACCTTTTTCCCAAAGCAGTCGCCATGTTTGCTTATTTATTCCCAGCTTGCATGAACCAGGATGAAGACTTACTTCTAATAGGCCTCAGGATCCAGCCCTAGAAACTAGCTCATGCCAGAAACAGTAGTGTTAGGTGATAAACACTTATATAATTTCATGTAGAAGTTCTATCAAACTTTCCAGTTGAAAAGAGAGTGCGCTATGAATGCTACTGTCCAGAGAAGTAATTCTTGAAGACAAATCAAAGGATATTTATTTATGTCCCACTTTATTATTTTTACAAATAACTCATGGTGTTGAACACACATAATAGTCCTTTTCCCCATCTCAACAACCTTGTGAGATGGGCTGGGCTGAGAGATTGATTGGCTCAAAGTCCCCCAGCTGGCTTTCATGCTTGAGGCAGGACTAAAGCTTCATCATCTCCAGGTTTCCAGCCTGGTCCGTTGACTACTAGACCAAATCACTGTGAAGAAAATTAGTCATGAGATGCTATCAAGATACTGGCATTAATAGTCATCCGGGCTGAAAAGTTGAAAAAGAAAACCATCTTTTAGAAAAAAGATCCCAGGACAGAATATAAAACGGACTCAAGGCCCCACCTCTACCTCCTGTGTATCTCGCTCCCTTCCTTGCCAATTTTGTTAACTTTAAGTGAATTTTAATGATATGTATTATTTTAATATGTTGTTTAATCTGGTTGCTTTTACTTGGATGTAAGAATCGCCTTTAGGTTAATGGACAGCATATAAATTTAATAAATACATAAATTAAAAAATATTCTAGCAAAAAAGAAAAAAAATCTCTTCAGAAGCGTACAGGGAAGGCACGGGAGGCCCGCACCACACTCCGGGCCGCCATTTTTTTCAAAAAAGCAACCAGCCTTTTCGCCGTCACCTCCAGCATCGGATAAGCCCCGCCCCCGCAGGAAGAACTCAATTTGCCAAGAGGGCGGGACGAGGAGGGCTGGGGCGGAAACCGTAAGAAGCTTCCGGACCGGCTTCTGCTCCGCGGCAAAAAAAGTGCGTCACGTGGGCCGCGCGTCAGGCCGAGACCGTTTTTTGCTGTCTCTGGAGAGTGTAGCCTGCTCTGCAAGGGTGTTGCAGAAGAGCCGACGCCGCTGCTTCGGAATCGGCTGGAAAAAAGAGTGAGGAGGGCCCAGACGAGAGGTGGGAGCGGCGATCAATGTGGGTCGCCGCCTTTCTGCATCTCGGGACTCTCCTCTTTTCTCCCTGCCTTCGACGGGGAGAGGAAATAATAGTTTCCAAAGAAGTAGATAGACCCATAACTTCAGGGAAAAATTGAAACCAGGATTTACCAAGCCCCAGATAAGGGGGTCTGTTTGTGAGAGAAGACTCCTGGAAATATCGAACTCTTACTCAAGTTTGCTCTTCCTTTTAGGATGGAATAGGTGGGTCGTTGTGATATAATAAAATTCTTTCCTAGGACTTTTCCTTTCCGAAACAAAAACAAAAAAACAGAAAATGCAATTATTTGACTTAGGGTAATTTTGCTTCAAAACTGAAACAAAGCTGTTGTTACAATCCTCGACTCAGAAATGGCGATTTAAAACAGGAAAAGGCTATTTAAACATGAAAAGGAAGACAAATATTTTCTTCCCTAGTACAATACTCAGAGAGCTGGCTTGCATAAAATGGGCATGAGCTATTACTGCTGCAAGCTAGAAGGATGATTTTTATACTTTCAGACAATAAATTAGCTGGAGAGCTAATCTGTATTTTTTTCTTACTGCCTGATATAATATGCTCAGAGAAAAATGGTAGCAATTAATTACTTGGTACACTTGATAGTGCACTTAAATAAATATCTATTTATGGGTGGAGGTTGATATCAGAAATCCTGCAAAGCCAGTGGGAAGCCTACCCCTCTCCCATCCTCTTATCACTTGAGCTTTGCACCTGTTTCGTTTATCTTTAACTTGCCTATATTTTTTTCTGAAACCTCTGTTTAATGATGGACATTTAAATAATAATAGGGCATTTAGGGCTCTTGGGTAAATCACTAAAATGTGATATGCTTTTTTCAGTTGTCTGAAAGGAACAGACCAGCAATAACCACTCCCAAACAAACAAAATCCCCACCCTAAATTTGCTGTCTTCCCATCTTACTATGATATTTGCTAATGGGGTTCTTTTTTTGTCTAACAGCTGTTTACCTGGATTTCAGTTAATCTTGCTATGTTACATAAAGTTGTAGCAATAAGATAATGAGCTTTTGGAATAAGCTATGACATTTACATACGTATTGATAATCAGCCCCATAAGCTTTTATAACTTGCCATCATGTATGCTATTGTAAAAGCCTATTTATTAATAAGACTTCTGTGACTGCCCATCTCATATATCATAATCCTGGGCAGCTCACAACAAAAACACATCAAAAAGTCATAAAAGGCTGTAAAAATCCTTACAAGAAATAATACTGATGAAATAAATAAATCTACTTAGATATGACATTAATAGGAGTTACTTGGTGAAGTATGGAGAAATACTGCATAAAATATAATTGCTATAATTAGATCTGCCTTTTTATTTTCTGAGACTTGCAAACTTAAGATTTATTGTAAAATAAGTTTCAAATATAGATTGTTGGGAAAACCAGGGTGTAACATTAATCTTTTAAGGTGAAGTATAACTTGAAAATGTCTTAAAGTTTTAGAAATGGCTTGTCTATACTACTGTGGGAAGTCAGCTCCCCAGAGAAGGAAATATTAAAAGAGCAGAAAAATATATTTCTTCAAAAGTATTTTAAAAAGCAGAAACCAACTTTGCCCCCAAGTCTCTGTCCCAAGCAGAAGCCAGCGCTATACAAATGCAAATGTAAACCATCAGAAAGGCCCCAGCTAGGAGATCAAGAAGACAGAGCCCTAAAATCTGCATACCCCACCTGAGACAGGACATGATAGGATTAACTCACAAAGGCCAAAGAGGCACACCTAAACTCAAGTCAGAATACGTGACACAGGAAATAGCCTCAAAGTTCATGCTACAGGAACAGGAAACTATTCCAAACAAAAGGCTAGAGGGGGTATAAAAACCTACTACCCATGTGCTCAGCCCTTTTCCCCTCTGCTCTTTCCTGCAAGAACCATCTTTCTGCCTCTTCAATAAACTGTAACCTTCCCAAAGCAGTCGCCATGTTGCTTATTTATTCCCGGCTTGGATGAATCAGGATGAAGACTAATCCAACACTACTATATAAAGTTACAAAGGTGAGGTTTGATATTACTATCTTATGGTATTTTACTGCACCAAAAGGAGTTGGAAGTCAATGCCTTTTTCCCTTCTTTTCTGAATTTTTCCCTTCCCCTTTCCCTCCTCTATCTTTCCTTATATTTGTTTTTGTATTTTTTTGTATTTTATATTATAAAAAAAAGAGAAAATGTCTAAAGGTTAGTGCAAGTTTTTTTTTTTTAACTAACTCTTATCACCATCACGCAAAGGCTTATCCTAGATTGGAATGAACTCTGCAATCAAATAACATTGTCTGGTTTGGAAAGTTAAGTCATTTTGAAAAACTCTATTTTAGCTTAGTTGAAATAGGAGTAAAGTTGGTCTTTTTTCACAATGTTGCTTGTGGAACTGTTCCCAGACTCTTTCATAAGCATTGTTTAGAATATCTGCTCTGCTCTATACATGCAGAAAAAGCTAAAATGGGAGGAAAGACAACTTTACAACCAGAAGATTCTATTGCCCAGATTTTTTTTTGGGGGGGATGCTTATAAATGTATTTCAAAATGCTTATAAAACAAATTAAAAATTGGAGGGATGAGGTACAATTTATTTTGTTGTTGTTACTCTTGTGAGAATTGGGATAAGAGAATTATTTGTTACTATGACCAAAGCCATAGATGCTGGTGTACCAGAAAGTCCCTCTGTATGGAATAGAAGTAAACTTCTTGCACTAACATAAACATCCCATCTATATCCATCATGTTTACAGGTATTTGCTTTTGTAAAAAAAAAAAAATCTTGCTGTGTTCTTGACAGAATATGTTGAAAAAACATAACACCACCTTTTTTCCTTTGAAAGGTCTAAAACCTATACTTGAAGAACTATGATGTGATGGCATTTCTGCATTTGGAAGGTGAGACTCTTCACAAACTTTTCAAAGAAAAAATAATTGTACTGTGTTTCAAATGCATCACACCTAAGTCAAAACAAACTGATTCAGCTCTTTGCTTTCACAGTGGTCCTGTCCTTCTGTAGAAGTACCTGTTTTGATCTCAGCAAATGCTTAGCGTTTGCAGATCTGCTGAGATAAGATGAACCTAGGCTTCATATAGTTTTGGAGAGACTGGGGAATGAAAACAGTACTGAAATTCTTTATGTGCTGAAGAAATATTTTACTTCTTTTCACTTTTAGGAACGACATTGTCCACTAGCTGTGATTCAGAGGACTGATTTCAACCTTCAAAATATTGTCCATTTGGTTAAAACTGCTCATTTCGACTTGGAATCTAATTTGAAGTAAGATTTGTACTTCCCATTCACTAGCATGGAAAAACAGTCCCATCTTCTGATTAGGAGAGAGGGGGGCATTTGAATGTCTGGAGATATTGTTTCAGGAGGAGGACACTAATTTAAGACATGTTTCCATGGTCTCTTGTTGGCAGTCTCCGACAGAGGGAATATGTACTCTGCTAGATATTGCAGGTTGGACAGATATTATCAGGAGAAACTAGTCTCAGATAACCTAGGCCCTGATACATTAAGGTTTTTAAAATTAACAATCAGCATATTGAATTCCACCTAAAAATCAATTGACAACCAATGCACTTTTCAGTAATATGAGTTCTATGAACAAGTAAATTCCATTTTTCTATGTCCTCCATATGTTATAGGCAAAAGTCTCTTGTAAAGCACTATATTTAAAACACTCTGGATGAACATTTCTTATAAGTGAGAAGATAAGAAGGTAATGGTTTGACTCCACATTTCTTCATATTCTTTCCATGCTAACATTTTAAACAAAACTGGAAAGTGTAGCTGTTTCTGTAGGGCTCCAAGCAGTCAAATGCTTCATTCAGTCTCCCAGTTCAATCTGAGTCATGTAGACAAGCCACTTTTGTGATTCGGGATCTGTCTGCCTCTTTCCAGTTATACCAATAAAGGAGAATATTTGTAGATCAGGGTTGAAATGAGGGGTCCTTGGTGTTCTCTGAGCTTGCTTGTTTTCTTGCAGAGACGTTTCACTACCTAAAATAGCAGAATGCATCCATGAACACCTCCTAGCAGTCAGAAGACATGATGAAAACTCTTTAATCTCAGAATACATGAAGAGACTTACATCATAGTTTCAACTGAGAAACTGACCACTCTAGACCAAGTCAAGTCCAAAAGTATTAAAAAAAGTCTTGGAAGCCTGCCACTCTGACAAATTAGCCAATAGGCATATAGACATAAACATTTACATTTGTGCAAAAGAGACAATCCACCACCCTAAAGGAACAAAAGACCAAAACGCTTCCCACCAGCAATCAACATCTAGATGAGCATATACTAACACCAAAGTTAATATCAGACCAACAGTCAAGAAGTAAATAATATCCCAGTCAAGGAACTGCCAAACTAGCTAACAGTAAACAGCCCAACCAAAGTATCTCCAAGACCACTCCCACCAACACAAGCCAATAGAATATAAATTGAGAGCAAACCTCATTCCTTACTAGGACTGATGATCTAAATAGTTCGGATAATGAAATTTCTGCAAGAAAACAACCAAGCTCCGAGAGCATCAAGGATTCCCCCCCCTTTTCCATTTATGTTTGGCTGAATCCAATGTAAATTGTAAGCCTATTTTTTGGGAAATAGCTTCCAAAGCAATATGTAAATTTTTTATGTCAAGAGACTAGAATATACTATCAAATTATATATTTCTTTTTCTCATATGCCATTTTGCCAATTTGGACAAATCTTGAATCCAGCATATATTAGGAATTACTACTAAGCTTGAAATTGTCTTCTTTCAAAAGCTGCTGGTTGGCATTTGGTAACTGCTTGTTTTTTGTTTGTGCTTTTGAGTCAGTGTTGACTCCTGGCAACTACCTGGACAAGTAAGTCCCTGCAGTTTTCTTGACAAGATTTCAGAAATGGTTTGTTATTGTCTGCTTTTTGGGGCTGAGAAAGAGGGACTGGCCCTAAGAGAAAAGGCATACCTGTGCTTAAGGCAGAACTAGAACTCACAGGCTCCTGTTTTCTAACAAGGTGCCTTAACCACTATATCAGGGCTGGCTTAGGAATTCTGGGAGTTGAAGTCCACGAGTAATAAAAGGGCCAAGGTTGCCTACCCCTGCACTATACCAAGCTGACTCTCAACTGCTTGAAATCATATAATTTAATTTTATTTCGAACGACCATTTCACGGGGGTCGCCAAACAACGCAGTCTGCCATTTTTCCCCCTTTTCCTTAGCTGTGCTACTCCCTTTTATTCTATTGGCTTTTGAAAGCCAATAGAATAGACTCTCTTGAATAGAGTCTAATTCTATTGGCTTTCAAAAGCCAATAGGAATTGTCCAGGCTGTCTCTGCCCTGCTGAGCCCGCCAAAAGTCCCATTCTGCAAACGGTGCTGCAACTTTTCTGCAGCAAAGGCAAGCTGTCTGGAAGTTTCCACCCCTCCCTGCTGAGCAACTACTAAAAATGTAAGTAAAAGAGGGCCAGAGGTGGGAGGCCGGCAGGCGCAGGGAGGGTTGCTGGCACGCATGGGGCCCAGCGGGTGCTTTACCTCCCTTGGGCTGGGCCAGCTGGTGGCCCAGCTGGTGGGAGGCTTGTGCCATCTCCGCCGCTTGCCAACTACGCTTCGGCCGGCGCAAGGGGTGGCACCACGCATGTACGGTGCTCCCGAGCAGGGAAAGTCCTCGACTTACGACCGGTTGGGTAGTCCTCGACTTACGACCGGTTGGGTAGTCCTCGACTTACGACTGGTTGGGGTCACGGCATTAAAAAGGTTGAGAACCACTGCAGTAGGGTATAAGAACCAAGATAAATCTCAAAACCTCTTTTTGATGTGGGAGGAATGGAGAGGGGTATAGAAGTTAAGTATGGTACTATATGATCTTCTGGTGCCTGAAAAGTGCCTTAATATTTAATATGCCATAGATATTATAAGCCCGGCAGCTTTAGTCCTCCATTGGGAGGCTATTAAATTTGCATTTTCCTCTGAATAGTCATCAAGTCTGTAGTTGGAACATGATTAATTATTTCTCTTCTCTCATCGTTGACATTTCTGCTTAAAAGTTGTTTTCACCTTCTAATCTGACCTGTGTCTTTTCTTCCTTTTCTCTCATCCAGCAATGTTCAACACAAATCTTCTCGGCATCGTGCTGGCACTTAGCTAAGAAGCTGGCTAGGTGTTGCCACTATTCTTCCTGGTCTGATCATCTGTCTCACCTTTTAAACCTGTTTTTATTGTAACTTCCAGAGGAGTTTGGGGCTTGCTCTGATCATTTGAAGACGATGGAAGCATGGATAGCAGTCAAAAGGATAGGATGACAGATGCTCTGAAAAACAGATACCAAATGTGTATTTTCAGCAGTGCAGCTTGTATGCCAAATAGGCTTGAGCTGTTACTGCAGTCACAGCTTGCTTGGAGAAAAGCCCACTAGAACTTTTTAAATGCAAAAATAAGCACAGCGGGAGTGGTTTGCAGCAGAAATTGGTCTAGCAGTTGGCTTGTCTTTACATTTGCTATTGTACTTTACAAATAAGGAATTTGTTTTTGACCCAGTCTCATACCCAAATTCTGTGTTAAAAGAATGCTATTTATATAATCTTTGAAACTGGGGGATAGCAAATATATTTTCAGAATTTGCCTTTTCATGTGACAGTGTTTGACAAGAACTAATTAATGTGTGGCATGAACTTCCTTGAAAATGTTGCCCTGACTGGGAAAAACAAACAGAAAATGTTTTAAAAGTTTGCTGCTGGGGTATTTAAGTCACAAAAGTGGAACGGTTTAATATATCAGAACTAGTAGAATTTCTTCCCATAAGATGTAGTCAGTGGATTAAAGTTGTTACACAGGCTGGTGCTTTCACGACTTGTGGGATTCTATCAATTGTTATTGAAAAAAAACTCCACAGGGAAAGAGTGATTCAGAACAGTTCTCGTATAGCTGCTATTGCCAGCTTGAGCACCATTGGATCCCATCTTCAAATTGCTCCACAATTTCGTTTCAGTGATTTGGATTTGGAAAAATTAGTTAGATCGATATTTGCTGCACCAGTTGACCCAGCCATCTTAAGAAACGATATTCAACTTGAACAGAATTCATTCATATTTGGTCCAGATGCAGCCCTGATTGTGCCTAACGCTCAGGGCAATTTTGTTTTCAATGCTGAGCGATTTGATGGTTGGATGGGACAAGTTTTTGATGCCAGCAATCCTGTGCGCTCTCAAAACAATTGTCCTCAGGGTGCACCTGCGGCGGCTAAACCTGTACCTGTAGCTGGGGAAATTCATCCATGGTTGTTTGGAGGGCTTTTTAATGTGAACCTTGCTGATGGAACTGAAAATACAGCTATTCTTCAAGATAATCCTTTGTGGTCTTTTGAACTATTGGCTCTGGTTATGGTAATGTCACCCCAGGGAAACGGATTTAGAGAAAAAATCTTGGCAAATTTGACCACAGCTGTATTAATAATAACCAGTGGGGGAAATATTACTCCAGCTAGACTGAACAAAACTCTTAAAGAAATCCGCAAAGTGACAGGATCTCAGAATATTGAAGTAGATCGAGATGCTGTGATTGAGGGTTTCCATTGCCTTCGTGCCCTCTGGGATGAGCAAACCACTGAACAAAACTTTGAAGATATGTTTACTAATCTTAAAACAGAAGTTGCTAAAATCTCATCGATACTTGGGACTGTGGTTGAACAAACAAGAAACAGAATGTTGACTGGAATACTAACTGTTAATCAAGCAATTCGAGCATATGAAGATTTTCCCTGGACAGAGTTAAATGAACATATAAAGAGAGTTACAGGAAAAGATGAGATGGCAGCAGCTGCTGCATTTGGAGATACTGTTAACAATTCCCATTGGATTGGATGGACTTATGCTTTTAAGACTGCCCAGCCAGGACAAAATGCAAATCGACAATTTCCAAACATTCTTTACACTGCCATTCAACTTCAAATTTTGGCAGGAGGAGTTCGGTCTCTTCAACAATACCAGGGATTGGAAAATATGATTATATCAGAAAGGAATATTATTGATGCCTGGGTTACCCAATATGTTCAAAATTGCCAGACTGGTGTTAATTATTCTGCTCAACGAGGTGCAGCATCCAGTGTGGTTGATCGTATGAGGCAACTTAATTTGAATTGAACATGACCTCATACGCAGTTCTGTTTGCAGAGGGATAACTGTTGCATGTAAATCCTAAAAAAAAAAAAACTGCCTAAGGCAGAACTAGAATTCACTGTCTTGTTTCTAGCTTGCTGCCTTTAGCCACTAAATCAAACTGACTCTTTTACAGTTACGGTATTAGCATCTTGGATCTAAATGTCAGACTAAAAATAGTCATTTTTAAGGCAGGCTGGATTCTTTGGGACTTCTCTGGCATATCCATAAAAAACCCACTTTTTTATGGGCAGAGAATCAAAGTGGTGTGGTATGGCCTTCTAGGATGATTCTCCAGTCCCAGGTGGTCCACCTGCTAATCCTGACTGGCTTTCTAGATGAGCCAAGCCAAAAATGTTGAACATATATTTAGAGATAGGAGGTCCAAAAGAGTTGTCAGAAATTTATTTATTTATTAAATTTGTATGCCACTCATCTCCCTTTCCATAGCAACTTTGAGTGACTTACAATATTATAAGTTCATAAAATAACAGGACTCAGATAAGAAACTGTACACCAAGAATACAACAGTATGGTGATGGAATCTCCTCTATCACTCCAGCAGCCACCTCCAGCATCGAGTGCCTCCATTGGGGCCCCAAGTCAACTGGCAGAGGCAAACTGTAAGGCTCTTGAAGAAGGCCAAAAGGGTGAGGGCATAGCTCGCCTCCAACAGTAAGTTCCTCCAAAAGGATGGGCCTCAGCAGAAAAGGCTCTATTAGACCCCACCAGCTGAAATTCCTTGACTGAGGGGAGTCCTCACAATACTGAAATCTATGGCTTTAGAGAAATTTAATTGTTCAAACTGCTTTCACTATATTGAGATGAACATACCTGCTAGAAGAATAAGCAATTGAATTTTATAATGACAAATTACAATAATGCCTTGGAAAATCAAAATGGTTTCTCCCTCTAATACAGTGGTTCTCAACCTGTGGGTCAGGACCCCATTTGGGGTAGAATGACCATTTCACGGGGGTCACCAAACCATGCTGTCCGCCATTTTTTTCCCTTTTCCCTAGCTGTCCTACTCCCTCTTATTGGTGGCCACACCCACTTGGGGGTCACCACAACATGGGGAACTGTATTATGGGGTCACGGCATTAGAAAGGTTGAGAATCACTGCTCTAATAAGTCTCTGAAATTACTTCTGTTTAAAATTAGATCTGAATCTGGCTGATGTTTAAGTTGGGGCAGTACCATTTAATTTTTAAATTTTCAGCTCAAGACATTTAAAATTCCACAAGCGTTACAGTAAACAGTTGTGCAACCTCAAGATGATATCCGAAAACAGCAAATAACAGTTGGATTCAATTTGCAATCAGAGGAATTGGGATCTGATCTGTTGGCTGTTAGATGTGAAGAAGAAAATGTTTGGTTTGAAAAATATAGATCTGCCAGATTGAAAGGAATATAAGAAATTTTAAGACAACGGATATGATGGATGGTCTAGACCAGGGGTTCGGGGGTGCAAGACGGTATTCCAGGGGCTGCGAAAACTTGGTATTTCAAAATATAGTGTATATGCATAATTCATTGCCGTTATTTCGAAGGTTTTGTAAGGGATATGAGAATATATCAGAAGCGTTCTGTTGCAGAGATACAACAGACACTTATGAACTTTGGAAATGAGATCAAATTGTTGGGAGAGTTCCCAATTAAAAACCTAAAGAAATGTTTCATTATTAAGAACCAATCAAAGGTATTTGACCCTGGACTTAAAGATAATGATTTGTGGTAAATAAGAAACTGTATAGATATTCTATAAGTAAATTACAATAACAGACTTAACAATGCTTTGAGCTTTAACTTCACTGTTGTTTAACCTGTTAGCTATTTTTTTCTTTCATATACACCCCCCAGTTGAACACTGACAAATCTATTGTAACAATAATAGTTTCCCCTCTTGCAAAGCAGGTCTAAAATTTAGAAGCTTGTACATCTATTTGCAACCCAATTTACCTGTTACATATTATTTTTATCCTTTACTTTTTAAATTCACTTTTTTAATATTTTTGTCCAGTTTTGTTTTGTCTCTGTTTAATTTTTTCTTTTAAATTTTATGTTCTAATCTTTTGAATAAAATAAAATTGGACAATAAAAAGATTATGTGATAATGATACCTAGTTTGGGTAATGAAATGTCTGCAAGAAAACAACCAAGCTCAGAGAGCACCTCATTTAAATTCTTTATTGATACGGTAAAAAAACATTTAAAATTTCAGATCAAAATGTTTTTTTCTGGGATTCCACAACAGCTCTAAGTTGTTGATCAGTAACACTAGAGATACATATACAAATAATGGCTGGCTCAGGAATTCTGGGAGTTGAAGTCCATGAGTCCTAAAAGGCAAGATTGCCTATCCGTTCTAAAGTGACAGTCAATGTATTTGGGTTTTGGGGGGTGGGTCTCAAACAGGTAGTGCTCAACTTACAACAGTTTGTGTAATGACTGTTCGAAGTTACAGTGGCACTGTAACATTGCAACATCCCCATGGTCAGGTGATCAAAATTCAGGCACTTGGCAACTGACTCATATTTTTGTTGGCTGCAGTATTTTGGTGACCTTCTGACAAGCCAAGTCAATGGAGAAGCCAGATTTACTAAACATCCGTGTTACCAACTTAAACAACTGCAAGTGATTCACTTAACAACTATGGCATGAAAGATCACAAAATGGGGCAATATTCTCATAGCTGTCTCACTTAGCAACAGAAACATTGGGGTCAATTGTGGTTGTAAGTCAAGGACTACCTCCCACAAGAATGCCAGATGATGCCCACGGGATTCCATAAATAAAACTTGATTTTGATTACCGATTCCTATAAAATAACAAGTTTTTGAGAATCTTGTTGAGATCATTTTTAGGCAACACACATTAAGTTACATCAGAATGTAAGAATAAGAATATCCTGCAAAAAGAAGCCAACAATGCAATTTGTTATACTTTAATAGGAATTTAGTGTAGGATTATGGACATAGATAAATACTGTTATCCAGTATTGTTTTTATTATTAATATATTGGGATAAGAACCAAAAGATTTTGCAGTTAGCAATACTTTCCATACCTTTCTTATCATTGGCTTGAGAAATAATTGATAGGCTAACATTGTATTTATTAATTGCAAGAAAAAACACTCTTCTTGGTTTCTGTCACTGCATGAAGATCTCTCAAGATGATAATAAGGGCGCACATGTATCTACATTTTCTTATTTTAGCATCAGTTTGATCTAGAATGAGAAGACAACAGTGGCCCGAAGTGGTTTGGTATCTTAGATATATCCTAACCTGGGGATAAGCAAAAATCAAGCCGCTGATGTAAGATTTTTTTTTTAAATGTTTCCCTTCATAGAAGTGGACATTATCTGGACCTTCTTCAAGCTGTAAATAATTTAGGGTTGGCATTTGCTATACTTTATTTTCTTTTGAACAGTTGTTTCCAACAGCAGTGTGAAATAATTATTAAATAGTGCTGTTAACAATACTAATACCATTCCCAATTGTGCTATGAAAATTCTTTGTCCAGGGCTATTTTTAACATTAGCATTAGATTTGGCAGCTACCAGGATTCCAGTTTCCTCATAACGCGCAGCTACAAATGGTTGTTCAAAGTTCTTGTTGTACATTTTAGGGCTCTTAATAGCTGCTTGGTGGCTTCATATGGTTGCCTTTTCAATTTCCCTTAGTCTCCTAGCATTAATAGTCAATGCTGCTTTGCTAACTTGCAGCCTCTCCTTTACCCAAAGTTATGCTACATGAACTCAAAACAGCCATGTTAACAGATGAGTGTATAATATCCTCCCTCATCTGAGACATATAAAATAGTGAAATTTCGGATGCCTTTTTATGACGTACACCACCTTCCCAAATCTGTGGCGAACACACACAATACTCTTTCCTCCTTCTATTTTCCCCCACAACGCTGTGAAGTGAGTTGAGCTGAGATAAATTGTTGGCCCAAAGTCACCCAGCTGGTTTTCAAGGCTAAGATGGAACTAGAATTCACAGCGTGCATGTGCTCATCCCCCCCTTGTGCCACCGTTGCTGCAAGTGTTGCGCAGGCAGCGACAGTGCCACTAGTATCTTATGGGTGGTGGCGTTGCCATGAATGTTGCATGGGTGACACAGCACTCCAAGTGGCAAGCAGGCCACGGTGCAAGTCTCATGCGGGAGCGGCGGTGTGATCCTCATGCTGGTGGTAGCATCACCGCGAACCTGGCGACAGCACCACAAGCCTCACAGGCACTGGCATTGCTGAGAGCCTTGTGTGCATGCTCACAGCTTTGTTTGCATTGTGCACATGCTCACAGCCTGTGTGTGTGTGTGTGTGTGCATGTGTGGCCACATTCACGTTTGCGTGTGTAAGACGCCTGCCCCTCCCTTTCCCACTGGGCCGCTAACCCAGAAAGATTGGGGAACCCTGCCTTAATGCATATCATTAGACAGACAAAATGATCTAAAAAGTTCAACAAATTAGCCATTACTCATTAGCCATATCGTCCCTTAAAATCTTGTATACATGCAATAAGAAATATCCAATATTCATAATCTTTACATGCATTTCTGTTAATATTTATCCATAAACATAAGAAATCTGATAGCGTAGGCAATAGTCTCCTGGCTGAAAGCAGATGATATGCATAATTGCACTTAACAACCCCCCTGATGGGTTATTGTTGTTTATTAAATGAAAAGCAGCCTTGGGAAGCTATAATCAGAAATGAGTCAGTAGCAAAGGGAAAAGGTTCTTAATTCTCTTTACCTCCAGCCACTCAAAATGATCTATCCCAAGCTGTTTTGTTTCTAAGCAGAAAAATGACAGTGTTTTTTTCCACTTGGGAAGAAAAGCAGTTGGTGAAAGGCAATTTCAATGGAATAAATAAATAAATAAACCAAACAAACAGCTAGTAGGGGAAAGCTCCAGCACTACCTGAGCTCTGTTCTTCCTACTGCAGTCTCTGGAAACTGCAGCTTTCTAATATAAAATAAAGCATTAGCAGAATGATGCAAATGACCCTCCAGATGATGAAAACACAAATGTTGATTTTTTCAG